GTCAAATGATTTATGTATAATATCTGCAAAAAAAATTCCAACAAATCTAAAATGTGATATTTTATTAACTTCCCGCAGGGCAAGTTATAGTAATCGCAAAAAAATCGAAAATGAAAATTTTTATATGTCTTTACGTTTTAAAGATGTCTGAATATTTTGGCGTACCTTAAAAAAATGGATGTATTTGTATGTGCGTGCGCGCATGTGTGTGTGCGGATACAAATTTTCGTCGACGATTTCGGGAACACCGATCAACGAAGTTGAATAATTCAAAAATCATTCGATTCGTGTTGATAAGGAGACGTGTTGATTAGTTTTTGGCGAAGGCAGGTCTAGCCATTCCGAAGTCATGGGGCAAAAAGTCCCAAAAACGACAACTTGGTTTCTAAGTGAATGGAGCGTCCGATTTTAATAAGTCAAAAAACATTTTACTTGTTTTGACAAGATGAAGAACTGATTAAATTTTCATGAAGTAAAAAAATGCCCTTTGGCGATCAAAAATGATAATTAGACATATGCACATCAAATTATCATATATTTTATAGAGATTTTAACAATAAGTATAAATTTTGTTTACATTCCCATGAGTTCCGTACCAATATTTATCCGTTAGACGGCGATGCGGTGCTTACGCGCTTCGATATTCTTCAATATATTTCAAAATAAAGAAAACATTTTTTTTCAGTCTTTTTTTTCTAAAGAAGTAAATTTTAGTCAAAAATTTATAGTTTCTCAAAAATCTAATTTTTTCAAAGTACATTTTTTTTCAAAAAATTTATCTTAAAAAAAATTGTTTGGAAGTTCCAGCAATTTGCCTTAAGGGGGGAAGTCCATATAATATTTTCAAAAAATTGAATTTTTTTTTTCGATAATCTGCAAGTATAGTATGTTGAGCGTATATTAACGAGTCGACAAAAAAAATCTCTTATATTAACAAAGTTATAGCAAATATAACGGGGCGGGCCGGAGTGCGCATTGTCAAGCGATCAAGCGTATTGTTAAATTTCGAGTGAAAAAGGTCTCTTTCATTATAATAACTAAAAATACTTCTTTTGACCTACAACCGGAAGATTTCTATGTACCTTAGTACATATGTAATATTGGTATACGAACAAAGGTTAGTCGAGAAATATAGTTAGTTTAGCTGGAAAATTCGTAGTGTTCAGTCCATTTCAATACGTAAAAATGCCGAATTATCTAAAAGGTAAGCGAAGTAATATTGCACAAAATAACACTAAAAAGACGTCATCAGGGCAATCAGTTTACCGATAAAGCAGGTGAAAAAATTGACGCCAGTACAAGTCATAATGAAAGTGCCAGTGGTCAAGATCTTCTAGACGTAGATTTAGCTCCATTACTTGGTAAAGACATGAAACAGCATCTTTCACCAATTTATGAAGATTTGTCCAAAGATGATTTACTTGAACGATGCCTTGATGATCATACGCAGAACGCGAATGAAAGTTTGAACGCGACAGTTTTGCGACTATCACCAAAACACCCACAATGTGGACTAAGGGTAGTTGAAATTTCACCATATATTGCAGCTAGGATATTTATTGAAGGTTTTAGTTCAATATTAAGAATAATGAACCTTCTGAATTTGACTGTTGGTACTTATGCTGAAGCATATGCTGATAATACTGATGAGGCGCGAATAACTTGACAGGATCGTAGCAGCCTTTCACAAATAAAAGATGCTGGTACAGCTCACAAACAACAACAATTTACAGAAAATCAGCTTCTTGAAGATAAGGAAGAACTATTGTATAGACCTGATATTGCAGATTAATCGGTAAGTAACTAAAAATGGTCATTTTCCTTTACTAAATCTTTAAACGCGATTATCTCAAAACTGTGTTTTCAAAAACTGCTCGTGTTGTAGCTCAAAAAGTTATGTATCGATTTGTCTGAAATTTGGTGAGGCCTTTCTCTATATTATTATCGGAAGGATAAACCTAAATCTTTAGATCTTTCGCGTTTATAAAGTATTTTCTGGAGCCCAAAATGTCAAAAAATAGCCAAAATATTTTTCCAGATTTTTTTTTCAAAGGCTTGTTTTTCATTGAATTTTATACTTTTTTTCAATTTTATAGGTTTATCCTTCCCATTGATATGTTCTCAAAAGAAAACATTAAAAAAAATTTTTTTCAGATCGACGGTTGATGAGTGAGAAATGCAGCAGTTTTGGACCTCGCGCCGGAGGCAGTCCACAAAAAGTTATGCTGAGCCGCCATTTTGAAATAATTTTTTTTTTAAATATTTTTTTGTATTCTAAAAGGGTTAAATGTATTCTAAAAGTTATGTCAAAGTTTAAAAACAATAAAATTATTCCATCACGTTTAAAAATATTTTTAAAATATGACCTATTCTCATGCGTCTATATGGACTTCCCCCCTTAAGATACGACGCCATGTGCCCCACTAGTTATTCCTAAAATCCGCGCGATTTGTAAAGGAACGACCCATATACATATTGCGTAGAATAGAATATATACAAATTATAAAGAATAATATAATTAGATATACTTATATATATATATATATATATATATATATACTAGCAAACCCGACGAACTCCGTTTCGCAATCAGATGGTTTCGTGAGAAAGATGAAGAATTTTTTTATTTATTTTATATTTGGAAAGGATAAATTTTATTTTATTGCACAACAGTAATGAATTTATTTCGATTACAAAAATAAAGTGTTTTTTAGTTGAACTTTTCTAAGTAAATGAAAGTGAATCCGCAAATTATCCGTTTCATTGAAGTGCTCTTTGGTAAACCACATTTTTTGTTTTTTTGGTCTGACGTTAACACAAACAAAGCGGATGATTTCCCAACTCGTGAACAGGCAACGTATGACTGCCCATGTAAAAAACAATGATTTTCTAAAAAATCTATTTGAAATTTATCCCGCAAACACTAAGCGATTGGTCTTGCGACTTGTTAATTGTCATTGCGAACGCAAGGCGAACTGGAAAATGCAATCGTTTGAAGTCAAACGGAAGACCATTCGGAATCATTGGTATGTCACCAAATCGCCAGCAATTTTTGATTGAATGATGAAATTCAGGGCGTGAACATCATTATTCTTTGCGGCAAGAAGTGCTCATTGACTTAACCAAGCATAATTCTGATAATTCTCACTAATGTCATTACTCGAATTTTTAATTACGGTGCGTGAAGTTCCAGCAATTTTCATTAAGGCACGATGTCATGCACCACTAATTTTCTTAGCTATAAACCTTGCGGAGCCCGAGACCTTTCCAAAGAATGCAAAATTGTCGAAATTGTGTGTTCTGGAGTTATATCGTCAGGAAGGAAAACCCGACTTATTTTTATATATATGGAGATATATAATATTCTTGAAATGTTTATTTGAGATACAGATAATTAAAACCAACTACATTAGCATGTGTATATTAACATATCTTTGCAAAATTTATACCAAATAATATCTATCATGCAATTACATTCACTAAACTTACCAATCAAAGAGTAATTGGCTGATGTATTCAAGAGGCATAAATGGCAATTGCTTTGCAAATACAGCATGCAATTCTACTAGCCAAAGCATAATCTGCTTAGGCACAGGTAGAATCATAGAATTCGACAAAAGATGAATTTGAATCTCATTTTGGCTTTCTTCCTTTTTTATGCGTTCATCCCTGGGTGCTCTTTTAGGATAACATATCTCCTATAAAATATATTTTAAATTTTAGAAATATACATAAAAAAGTGACACCTTTTTATTTTTAATTTTAATAAAGTTTTATAAAATAATACCTACATTATTGCAGTTTAATTATAAGGTTGAGCAATAAAATTAAAAATCATAATCTAAATATGTATTTTTTAACATAATAAATAAAAAAAAATATCAACTCTTACTAGTCCATAAATCTTGCTTTGGTGGTTATTTCTGTTTAAGTTATAGTAATCAGCCTCATTGTTTCTTGTAATACAATAATTTTAAACAAGATAAATTATGTTATAACTTCTGTTACAACATAGTTAGATATATAGAAGTACATGATACATGGGCACATTTTTTGTATGAAGATCGCAATTCATATATAACTTTCGTTTGGAACTTTGTCAAAAGAATTCATAATCAGAGTTAAAATAACATCAGAAAATATAACATTTTCTTATCGTTTACACTTCGCCAGTGTAAAAGTTTTTAATAACAATTATTTTCTTATATTTTTGATATTACGGCGACCTTATCGTACAATTCACTCAAGTATATTGAAAAGAAATGAACCATATATAAACAAAACCTAGTTCAGTTTGTATGAATCCATCTATTTATCATTATTAGTCATAAATATGTATCAGTCACTTTCTCAATATTCCTACAAACAGTTCAAATTCTATATACACACACTCACAAAATAATTTATAGTTGATTATGTTGAATTTATTATAAAAGCGCTAAGATTTATCTTCATGTTCCAGCCGAAAATCCTAAATTTATTTTAAAAATTCGAAAATTGATTGTCTCGTATAAACATAAAATATCATCGCATTTATTTATTTTTTGATTTTGAAAATAGTTGGGACCATAGGCGGTGAGACTTAATAATAGGCTACTGATAAAATACAATTAAACGTTTATTCTAATCACCGCGTCAAAATCAACATAAATATAATAATTTACTAGCCTAGCCTTTTATGCAATAAAAAATCTGGGATCCTAACACATTTACTTAAGAACATATGCATAATATATTATTTAATTATTGAATTAATTAGGTTTAGCATTAATTAATTAATTACACTAAATTAAAGCCAGAAAACTAAAAAAATGTAACGGTTTGAATTAATTATTCTTCTTTATAAAATTAATTAATCGAATTAATCTGCATTAGAAAAATAATAACTTAAGCTGGCCACAGACGTTACTGTATACATGTGCAACTGAATGAATGCGTAGCATATCAAGATATTACATAAAAATGTCAAGACATAACATGAGAATATATCTTTTTTATTAATTTATATATTCACAGCATTAGAAGAGAATTCGAAGAGTTCTGTGGGCTAATTCATACACCTTTAAATGTTGATAACTTTATAAATTTGAATTATGTATTTGCTACAAAGTAAAATATAAACGGTACGCGTCCAACGAATAAACTTTCCGACTTTCCGCACAATTGAAATAATCGAAAAGTGCTCATGTCAACTCGCTTGTACCAGTCTGTCAAGTTGCGTATAAAACATCCATCGTATGCTACAAAATACATGTCAATTGCAAGTTGCGCAATTATACAGCATTTGTTTGTGGCCGGCTTTACTGATTATAGTAGAAGAGCCAGTGAACTATTTGACTAACCTGTTTTCACAAAGCTAGAAATTTTTTAAATGATATTTTATTATCCGTACATTACGAAAGTGCCGTTCTGGCAGGCATCTCGCGGTTGCGTCATCATCCCTCGAATTTTTGAAAATGTAAAAAAAAAATTTTTTTTAACTTGCTTTCACAAGGCTCTAATTTTAATATGGTGTTATTTATGTGTGTTTAAGTACAAAAAAAATTGACAGCCTATTCTGACGGTTGTAAGTGTATGCCAGTCGATTGCAAAGTTGTCATCGGGGTAGTAATTCATAACCAGCTCCCACATGGTTAAAATTTTGAGGGTGTATTCTTTCAACTGTTTAGAAAGTATATATAAATAGCCAGCCCATTCAGACGGTTTCAAGGGTCTGCCAGTCGAGTACAATAGCCATAAAGCACGATGGGATAATGTCCATAATAGTCTTTTAAGAATTCCATTTTTAGAAAGAAAGAGTTGAAATATGATATTGTGAGTATAACAGAGTTATATGTATCAATTAATTTATTATTATTCAATTATATGTATCGTATCAATTTATATTTTTCTTAACAAATATTTATTATTTAAACATTTCAAACATATTATTATTATTATCGTAAATTATTATTCATCTTCAATAATGATAATTATCTGCGGTTTCATCGATCTCTGAAAAAGAAATAAAGAGATTTATTTATATAATAAAATGAAGAAAAAATTTAAATAAATAAAACACTATTTGCCTATCTCAATATCATTAGACTCCTCAGATTGTATAAGAGCATCATAAATAGATGATGGCACAGTGTCACCCTCATACCAGTTATAAATATATTTATTATCATTCATAACACAGGCCAACAAAAAAAAGTTTTTTTTTGGTGCCTCAAATGTTAGAGCTGATTCTTATAGTATTTTTGCGCTGATTTCAAATCTGCAAACCATTTTTTTGTATCAGCTCTAGTTTTTGAGATACAAAAAAGTTGCCGAAACCAGGTCCATTCGAGGTCGTCACGGAAAAGAACTTTTCACAGTGTCAACTAATGTCCCAACTAAGGCCAAATGGGTCTTGTAAGTTTGTATGTACAAGTAGGCATATCTCATTACAATAACATTCTGAATTGAATTACTATTTTGTACTTTCGTTCCTTATATTAGGTGCGCAACTAAGTTCTCGCTGTTGGTCAGTATATGGCTTTAGCAGTAAAGGTTGGTCGATTTTGACAAATCCAAAACGTCTTGAAGCAAGCTTAGAGTAAGTAAACAGACTGCGGTGACACATAATTGATTTCGTTTTTGCATTATATACTTCTGGTTGAGTGAATATGTCCAATTTTATGCCAAACAATCGTCATTTGCGGGGAGTGTTGATTTTTGTCTTCCATTAAAAAAAAAACGGCAGCAAAGTGCATCGAGAGCTACGGAAATGTTGCTCTGAGCGAAACAACATGCCATGAGGGGTTTAGTCGCTTCAAAAATTGTTATTTTGATGTTGACGACCACCCTCGTGAAGGAAGGCCAAAACCTTCAAAAACGTTAAATTGAGGCCTTGTTCGAAGAGGATTCGTGCCAAACTCAAGAAGATCTTGCTTTAGAATTAGTAGTTACCCATCAAGCCATTTCCAAGCTATAGTATGCGTCGGGGATGATTTAGATGCAAGAAACTTCGGTTCCTTGTGAGTTGAAGCCAAGAGACGTCGAGCGTCGCTTTTTCGCCTGTAAACAACTGCTCCAGCGGCGAGAAAAGAAGAGGTTCTTCATCACATCGTGACAGGTGATAAAAAATGAATATATTACAGCAATCCAAAGACGAGAAAATCTCGGTTCGACCGAATATTCACTTCGAAGGTTATGCTCTACATATGGTGGGACCAGGTCGGTGTTATTTGTTATGAGCTGTTGAAACCGAGTGAAACCATTACTGGAGAACTGTATCGAACTCAATTGATGCCTTTTTTTATAATAAAGTTACATTTTCATTGAAAAAAACAGCGAGAACTTAGTTGCGCACCTAATATCGTAAAATATATCATATATATTGTATCTTCAAAACTAAAGCTCATAGAAAAAAACCAATGTCATTTTTGAAATCAGCGCCCCAAATATACCTAAAAACAGTATTAAAATCGTTTGCACCATTTTCTTTGTTGACCTGTGTAATCCATCCATTATTTTCTGGTGTTAACTTTGTGGGCACCTCAATATTGGCATTACCCCATATACTTGTTATATATTGTGCGCGTAGAAAATGCTCGTGTAATTCGGACCGACACGGTGGTAAATGTGATGCGTCATAATTTAAATATTTTTTATTAAATGGCTCGTTCACTTTCTTTGCTTTATAAGTGATGATGAACCTATTATATCTCGCATCATTAACACCATAAATTTCGCAGACAAATTTTTCAATAATCGGGAACATTTCACTGCTGCTTCCTGTTATATAAGCACTTCTAAGTTTTTTTAATGCTTCTTGGTATTCTAAATTTCTTTTAAGAATTGTAAAAGGTCGTTTTTTACCTTTTAGGAAAAAACATGGGTTGTAGTCACAACCAGTTAGAGCATGAAATCCTGGTAAACTTAATGCTAAGAATGATCCAAGCTTGCTATAAAGCTCGCTTATCGAAATGCACCTTTTTATTTCCAGCACCATATTCCATAAAAATGTGCATTGATTCATTACACCCATATTTCCAAGCATTATAATTAAAACATCGGTGTCTGTTGATTTAATTAGGATATTCACATTGTCTTTATTGATTTTACAAATATGATAAATAATTTTAGTATCTGCCTCTTCGTGATTTATGCAGGACAAATTATCATTAACCCCTTCGCTTACAAAGACGCCTCAGAGGCGTCGCAAGGTTATCGGCCCAAACACAAATATGACGCCTCAGAGGCGTTGTAAGGTATTAGGTCCAAACACAAATATGACGCCTCAGAGTCGTCGCAAGGTTATCGGCCCAAACACGAATAGGACGCCTTAGAGTCGTCGTAAGTCTACCGGACGAGACATAAATGAAAAATTTCCAAAACTTGGTGAGGCATATACATACATCGTTTATAAGAAGTTTTAATAAAATTACCCATTATAATGTATTAAAAAATGATTAGTGATGAATTACAAAGCAGTGATAATTTTGCTACCAGTAGTACTGACAGTGGTAGTGACATTGTACGTTTCGCACAAATATATAAATTTATAATTAAATGTATAAATTTATATATTTGTAATAATATTTTTTTATTTTTATTTAAGAACCAACGTAATTATTTATTAAACATCTTGCAAAGTTAATTGTACCGCACACGTGCATATAGGAATTTTGTAATTTGTTCAGTTTCGAACGCTGAGCAAAGTTGTTTAGCG